TTATTTAACAAATTAGTGACATCAAACAAAGAAAATCTCCAAAATAGACATCCACCGTGTAGTTAAACATACTAAAATGTAAAGATTGATTTACATATCTATATGAAATATAAACATTCAATTCGGTAAAATAAGTTCGATTGAGGATCTGTTTCCTCTGGACAACAAGGGTATAGTACAGTACAATAGAGCAACAAAATTTCATATGAACTTACTTCATAACAATTGCCTCAAAGAGAAGCTTTGCATTATGGTGGGTGGCTGACTTTCTCTCTGGTCGCAAGATATTCGTCGTAATTCACGGGTTCTCCTCATCCCACAGCGTCAACGCGAGGGTTCGCATGGGATCAGTCTTGGCTCTGGTGCTGATTCTCTTACATATCAAAATACGTGCAGGAATTCAGAGTGACACGCTGGTCTCTGTCGGTGAACTGAAAAAAAGACTAGCAGCGACTTCCTCTCTGGCGAGAGACCTGAAGGTATCACTGCTTGGGGACGCAACAACATTGTACAGATTAACGCTTCCAAAACACAGTACCGTACCTTGACGAACCTAGCGCTCATCCGGTTTTGATGGATGGCCGAGTTCTGCCAAAGAGCCGATCATTTCGGATGTTCGGAATCCAGATGACCGATGACTTGATCTGGCACGAACAAATCTCGTCAGTAGCAACAGCTGCTGGAAAAAAGCTAGGCTATTCGTTTAGGGCTAAGAAGTACTTTTCTCCACATGACGTCTATACAAGGTTCAGATAAGACCTAGCCTTGAGCATTGCTCGCACGTTTGGGGTGCTGCCGCATGACTACATCATTCATCCTCGTTGCTGTAAATGGAGGGCTGTCCGACTGATTGATGGCTCTTCTCTAACACAGTCTCGTTACCCTATCGCACCGACGGGCCGTCGGCGATCTAGCTCTCTTCTACCGCTACACCAACGGGCTTTGCTACTCAAAGCTCTGATCCATGACGCCGCCGCACGATGTGCCTGCTGTGCAGACCCGCCTGATTGCGACCTTTCATCTTAACCGTGTCGAACTTCATACATCCAGAACTGACCAATACGGATAAGGATTATCACAGTTCTACAAACCTTAGGCATTTCAAAAATCGGATTAACACAGTTTCTTTGGGATCCTAATAGCAGCTTCGTTGTCCTGGCATTTAGGCTTCTGTCTGCGCGGCTGTTTCGGTAAGAAAAATAATGATTTCAAGACGTTGCACCAATGAACTTTGCTTGTTCTGAACAAACTTATGCTTGTCATCGTTCTAACATAATTTGGTTTCGTTCCGCGTACTCACTATACCTGTCACCAGAGCATTCAAGTCAAGCGATTTATTCCTGAATGGTAAGAATGGCAGACATTAGACTAAAATAAGTTCAAACTTACCCTTAAAACTGAAAGCTCAAGAACTTAATAAAAGCTCTTTGTTCCATTTCATTGTGAAGGAAAGTTCTCTATAATGTTAATGTTTACTTCTCGATCTAGTTCGGGATTCTTTTTCATGAGCCCAAAAATATAAAATCGACTTTCCATTAGTAGCTATTAGCGTAAAAACTTTCGCATTTGCAGAGTAACACTGAAATCCAATTTATAAATCCGATCAATTGGGAGTAGCGTGGACACTTTAGGAATGTATATGTCGGCGTCAAACGCTGAAATCCGTCATTCCCTGAGATGCCTAGTCAGTCCCCGTATTGCCGGCAAACACCGTAAGTTTGATTATTACAACGTTTGACTATGCATTTCAATTTCAGTCAAACACCGTAACAACCACATTAATTTCGTTACTGCATTCGCCTATTTTAGTCAAACGCTGTAATCAATACAGTGTTGCTCCAATGAAGTAGATACATAGTATAACAAGGTACTACTTCATCAATAATATACTAAGTGACATATAAATTCGAACACCCAGTTTAAATGGTTTTATTTTAATAAAATTTTGAACAAGTACTTAATGAAGCATAATAAGTAAATGATAAAAATTTCAAAATGATTGCACTGCTTTAAAGCCCTTCGACCTTTAATAATGTGTGGATGCACCCTGATGTGCTACGCATTCTCCAACGCGCCTAGGCATGCTTCTTATCAGGTGGTCAATGTCCTCCTGTGGTATCTCATTCCAGGCAACCACCAACTCCTCTCGAAGTGCTTCTAGAGTCTGAGGAGGACGTTGCAAATTGAGCAATCTCCTACCCATCATATCCCACACGTGCTCAATTGGGGATAAGTCGGGAGATCTTGGTGGCCATGGTAACAATGTGACATCATTATGTTGAAAGAAGTCTATTGTGACTCGTGCAACATGTGGTCGGGCATTATCTTGTTGGAAAGTTGGATCTGCCAGGGTGTCAAGATAGGGTAAAAGATGGGGTTCTAGAACTTCGTGGATATAACGCTGCGCGTTCAAGTTACCTCTGATGAAGATTAAAGGTGTCCTGGAACCATAAGCTATAGCACCCCAAACCATAACTCCAACAGTGTGATGAACATGTCTTTCAACAAAAAACTGTGGATTCCTCCTTTCACCACGTCGCCTTCTAACCCTGGCACGACCATCGTGCATGCCTAAACAAAATCGAGACTCGTCACTAAAGACAATACTGTTCCATTCCTGATCCCAGAGTGACCGTGGTCTGCACCACTCAAGGCGATTACGTCGGTGTTCTCGAGTTAAAGGGAGGACCCAGTGTGGCCGGTATGAAAACAAGCCAAAACTTCTCATTCGTCGATAAACACTTCGCATGCCAATAGGTCTTCCGTGTTCTGCGAACGAGTCATTTGCAATGGACCTGGTAGTGGAGAAACGGTCCCTTAAGGCCAATAATCTTAGGCGGCGATCTTCACGGTCTGTTGTTCTACGGCGGCGTCCAGTGCCCCTTGCTCTTTGCGTACGGCCTTCTCGAAGCCATGCCAGACAACACCTAACCACAGTGTCTACACTTCTTTGCACTCTAACTGCAATTGCCCGAAAAGAAAGTCCAGCTTCCTGAAGTCCCACTATACGGCCCCTATCAAACTCACTAAGTTGACGAAATCGTACAGGTCTCCGTACTCTAGGCATCGTAACCGATCGTAAAGGATGTCAAGAACCAAAATCCGCCAACGTTAATTCTTTACTGCGGCTGAAATATTCATTTTTAGAGCGTTAGTGAATTAAAAAAAAGCAGTATTAAAACCGGAATGTCCAACTGATAAGGCTGAAAATTTTTTCACTTGTTATTTACAGTAAGATAAATACATTCACCAACTTTTATTAAAATAAAACCATTTAAATTGGGTGTTCAGATTTATATGTCACTTAGTATATTAAAAGAAAAATAATCAAGCATGAATTAATCTAAAAGGAAAGAAAAATAGATTAAAACGTTGTCTTTATTATTACATTATTGTTTTTTAATGAAGTATTTACTACATATACGAACTCCAGCAACTGGATGCTGCTGTTGAACAAGCCTATGTACGTTATAATTTAGGTTAGGTTCACAAAATTATAAAAATTAGCTTATCTCCTTTAACTCATTTGTATTCCATGTTTTTTTCTTATTCACACTGTGATAGTATTCACTTAGTTTCTTGTAAAATAATTCTGAATGCTACGATATTTTTACAAACACAGAAAAGACGATGTGTATACTCAAGCAAATGAACACAAAACTGCTACAATGAATGACTGAATCAGGCAAATGCCGTAACGAAGTTAATGTGGCTGTTACGGTGTTTGACTGAAATTGGTCAGTCATTACAGGGAATAACTGAAATGCTTAGTCAAATGTTGCAATAATCAAGCTGTTGCGGTGTTCGCCGGCAATACGGGGGCTGACTAGGCATTTCGGGGAATGACGGATTTCGGCCTTTGACGCCGAAATACATATAACCCCACTAACCCTCCATGCCAGGGAGTTCAGAAACATGTTAGTGAAGTGACTTTGCAATGTTAGAAACCTATAAAAAATTACCAAAGGTAAGCCGCATCGTGCTACGTAAGCTTGTGTTACACCCAGAAAAAATAATTTCTTCAACTTGAGTTTTCAGCAATGAAGTAGTCTTACATCAAGAATGGAACGATAACATTCCCACGAAATTTTTTTGACATATTATAAGAAAAAAAATTATAATGTTTTTGGCGACCTCACAGCTGAATACACTTCTGTATACGTCTAGGCATAGACAAAATGAGAACTTTATTTAATGACTGAAGTTATTGTTGTAGAGTGTGTATATGAATTTCATTATTTAGCATCTTGAAAGTCCCAAGTTGCTTCGTAAATATAACACCCGAAACTTATCCTGTGGTGTTCATGCTGCTGATTATCCATGTTCGTCTGGTCACTAGATGAAACTACATATGCTTGAAATACTATTTACTCACGACAACGTTCCGGTTTCAACTGTGTTTGAAAACTGTTACCGTGGTGAACAAAACGTCGACGTCAGTTAATAGTATTTCAAGCGTATGTGGCTTCATTTAGCGGCCAAACAAACGTGCTACTTGCTAAATTGGAATATTTTAAAATGAGTGGAAAACGACTAATTTGTCTATTCTTATCGCTGACCATCACCCATCGACAGTGACCCTTTTCTAGTTCAGTGATGCGATTATCTGACACAACAGTGAAAAAAAAAATAGGTATTTCGTATAAGAAAGTTTAGCAGATATCGGAAAGTTTGAATAATGGAGAAAGATACAGCTAGATATGCGTTGAACAATAATACAATACAATAAAATTGTAAAATTGGTATACTCTTAACAAAATACACTCTGATAAATTAAAAAAAAATGGCATTCAAGTTTGTCTTTTATTTATATTTATTTTATTTGCATTTCTTCGTGGTATAATGATATTATATAATGCATTTTTTATTTACTAGAGTATATTTTGTTAAGATTATACCTACCAATTAACTGAATTATGAATTGAAGACCTCGGGGGAAGAAGGGGATAAGCCACATATTGGCGAACATTAATCCAAATACTGCAGGCACCTTTCCAAACCTATATCCTTGTCTTGACAAAATATTATAAGAATCGGATCATAGAGGGCGCTACAGTTTGCAAACGTTGTTCTTCTCGCGAAAATAATTTTAGGCATTTTACAAGCAATAAGGGGACAAGCCGCATGTATTTTTCAACATGGAGTTGCCACGTGCACATGAAGTGAAGTCAAAACGGTATTATTATGACAGTTCCGATAGTGAAAGTGGTGATGTAATGGATTCAGACGATAGTATTAAAGACAAAGATTATGTGGAAAGTGAAACTAGCAGTGATTCCTCAGAGGTTTCGACAGATGAGGTAAGAAAAACAAAATTGTGGCTTATCTCCTTTTTAACGTATTTTTTGTGGCTTATCTTTAGAAATTTTGTTTTGGTTGTGTCATGTTACAAAATGGAAGTTGTAGGATTTTTGTGAGTTACCATAGTATTATATAAATTTATTTTTAGAATAGTGCAACGATACGCCTCTGAAATATCAATACATATCGTAAAAAAATAAAAATGGTGGCTAATCCCCTTTTTTCCTTTATAAAATTTTCTGTTTTTTGTGAGGCTTATCCCTTTGCTACCAACAAAAATTGAAAATTTTTTGTTACAGGGGGATCCCAACAATAATGATGCAGGAACTGCAACAGATGCCCCACTTACTTCAACAACATCAAGAGGTAGCTTACCCAGTCCAGAAAAATCAAAACCATCCAGATGGAAGAGGCCAAGGAGAGAATGGAGAAAAAAAGAAAAAAACAAAATTAGGAGGAATTTGGGTCACAGCTACAAGAATCACAAGGGAATTGAAGTAACAGCTAGAGAGTTAGGACCACCATGTACCTGCAAGAATAAATGCCGGGAAAAGCTAGGAGAAAAGGAATTGGACATCTTCAAGTCATTTTGGGACTTAGGCGATTATGATAAGCAAAACATATATTTATATTCTTGTATGGAAGCAATTCCTAAAAAGCGGTCATATCCAAAGAAAACAAAAAAACAGGTTTCATCCAGAAATATTTCAATAGAGTATTTTGTCAAATTAAATGGAGAAAATGTTAGACTGTGCAAAAAAGAATTCTTGTCTGTTCACGGCCTCCAGCACAGTAAAAAAAGAATCGAAATACTTTACAAAAAAATGTCAAATGAAGGTTCAATAACGCCTAAGAAAGACAAACGGGGTAAGCACAAAAATCGTCCAAATAGAACCCCCGCTGAGAATTTACAATCGGCTAGGGACCATATAAATGCTATTCCAAAGTATACCAGTCATTATAGTAGAAAAAAGAACCCAGGAAAAGTGTATATAAACCATGATTTAAATATTTCGAAACTATACAAAGATTACTATATTGACTGGTGCAAGGAGCGAGATCTGGTACATGTGTCGGAAGATAGGTATAGACGTATCTTCTGCACAGAATATAATATCGGGTTTAAGCTGCCGAAAAGTGACACATGTAAAACATGCGACATGCTAAAAATTAAAATTGAAGATCCTGGTGCCACTACAGAAGAAATCAAAAGCGATAAAATAAAATTGGAACTACATCAAAGGAGGGCCGAAGCCATGCAACAAAGTTTGAAAAGAGAAACTGAATATGCAAAAATAAGTGGCGATACTTATGTTATAACATTTGATTTGCAGCAGGCTCTACCTGTCCCAAATTTAACAGTTGGACCAGCTTTCTATTTAAGAAAAGCATGGGTGTATAATTTGGGCATTCATGATTGTGTGACAGGTCAGGGTTACATGTACATGTGGCCAGAAAATGTTGCCAAGAGAGGTAGTGATGAAATTGCCAGCATTTTGTACAAACATTTTCGAGAACACTCGATTAAAGGTAACAAAAAACTAATTGTCTACACCGATAACTGTGGTGGACAAAACAAAAACTGATCGATCATCTGTTTATGGCAACAGCTGGTAGTTGATGGATGGTTTGATTCAGTTGAGCATCGGTTTTTAGTTGTTGGTCATACTCATCTTCCTTGCGATCGAGATTTTGCTTTGATAGAGAAGTACAAAAAAGGAATGAGACAGGTGTATGAGCCAAACGACTGGTATCAAGCTGTACAAAAAGCGAAGCGAACAAATCCGTTTGTAGTGAATGTTATTAAGCAGGAGGATATAATATCATTCAAAGATCTACTTACTCAGATCCAGAAAAAAAATGTTTTGGATGACAAAGGCAAACTGAATTTTAGCCATGTTAGTCATTTTAAATTTTGTCATGAGGATCCCAATAAAATGTACGTTAAACATGCAATAAATGAGGAATTTAGAAGTGTCACAATAAAAAAAAGAGGCATACGACACAGTATTTCATTACGTTTAAAAGACTTAAAAAGAAAATATTATCAACTGCTTCCTTTAAACAACAAAAAAGTGTCAAATCTTTCCGAACTGCTAAAGTATATCCCACCTATATATATAGATTTTTATCGAGAAATAGGCGCATGTATTGTAGTTACAAACCCAACAACTTCAGAGCAAAATGACGTTGAGGACCTTGATGCTCGCAGTAGTGAAGAAGAGAACGATAATGAAGATGATGAATGAATGTTGAAGACTTTTTTTCACATTTTTACACAATTCCTATTATTTAGAATGAATATCTTTTTTATTTTTTGTTTGGTTATTAATTAATATAATAAGTTGTACAGTACTTTTAAATGTTTGTATTTTGTTAGAAAGAAATTGTTTTTAGTGTATTTTGTATCACTATTACTATTTTGACCTAAAAAACTGTTGAGATAAGATTAGGGCAAAAACGAGATTAGCCACATTTTTTTTAAAAAAACGTATGAAATAAAAAAGTTTTTAAGTTTATATGTTTTTTCATTATCATTCATAAAAATAGATATATTTATCAATCTGTTGCTGAGTTTCATTAATTTACACAATAGAAAAGTTGATTTCGAGATTTGATTGAATATTTTAAATCCATTTTTCTCAGAACCATATTTTTGGGCTTGTCCCCTTCTTCCCCCGAGGTCTTCAATTGTCCAACAATTCTATTGTAAAATATAAACTATTACAATGGGCGTAAGAGTACATTATTTATTGTTAATTCATTATTATTCTATAGTAATTACATTTTGAAGCATATAACGTGTTAAGTTTTCCGGCACTTCACGATTTTACAGAAAAGTGAAAATGTGTCAGATGTCATTATTTCGACGAATTACCCCACATTAAAAAAAAGGTTCTACGTTGCTTAGAAGTCAAGGTAATGCAAAATTTTACAGCGCGCTCCAATTTGAAGACTCAATTTCAAAAAATAATTCGAGCCCGAGCTAATCCTCCACCACCTCACCCGCAAATACTTACGCAAGTACCTTCACTTTAGGTGGCTATTTATTAAAGACCTTTGAACTAATAGTAAAATCATAAATTGGATCATCAAAATAAGATCCTTGATTAAAATCTGTGAAAATTTCGAGTCTTTATGTTTATAAACAAAGGAGATATGAACTTAAAGAAAATATCTCTTGGCTCCTATTGATCATAGGCGATTTTTTTAAAGCATGCGTTTTTCAAACACCTATCCAGATCAGCTTCTTAAAATAAGTTATACTGAAAGACACTGGAGTAATTGTAGAAGTTTATAACTATGGCCATTTTTTTAGCATCATGTTTAACAACAATTTTGTAATGACCTAATTATTTGCATAAATTCTTGAAATTGAAATATTCAAGAATCCATTTCATTTTTGTAAAATGTTCTACACTCTTTAGTCTTTAGCTATTTATAATTGTTTTTGCAATAGTTATAAACATTTATTCGATATTGCTAAAGAGCTCCGTATTTAGCTGTTTAACAATTTTGATTCTTAAAAAATAAAACTGAAGGTCTTTTTATGTTCTAATATCTCCAGTTTACCGGAAAATTCTACAAGCAGAATACTAAATTTTTACATTTTCCCTTTTTTTATTAAAAACAACGCATATCTGGCTGTATTTTTTATGTATTTGTGATTAGAAAGACCTCCCCCCCCCCTTCCACTTAAAACTTTTAGATATCTGCTAAACTTTATTCAACTTTTTTAACTTGCCTGGAATATAGCGTTGCCTGTAGTTCAAATTATAATAAAGCTAAATGTTTCAGTATAAAACAATTAGCAGTCAAAAAAATTGTATTCATACCTTGACGGAGAAGGCCATTCTTGTACATGTACATTAGATCTCTGAGTATTCTTCTGGATCAAGGTATGTAATGTAATGGTATTTAGTACTCGTGATCGATTAATCATTGCGATAATTGGGTGAAATGACTGCATAAATGTTGTTTTCTTAAAAAATAATGCTTGTACCACCTCATAGATGAATGGATGTGAGCTCTTTTGAACTACACTGCATGAAAATGCTTTGAACGACATCCTATCATGCATACGATTATCTAAAAATTCATATTTTTTTGACAGGTTACATCCCATCGAATTAAAACAAACGAGCGTGCGTTTCGTTTAAGGCTTTAACAACTACGATAACAAAGCAAGCGGCCTTCCGGTGGCCGGCATTTCCACATGTCAATTTTTCATTTCCGGCGGGCACAGCGCTGTCACGTCAAAAGGATCCCACGCAGCCACTCATAGCGAAAATACATGCTGACATCCGACAATCGAATTATTTATCAACCAATGAACAAGAGAGTTTATATTTTATTCCTCCCGCAATCCTATTTTGACAATGGGGTTACATACGAGGGTTGATCACTACTAGTAGCAATAGTGGTGGGGAGACCAATTAGGTGACCTGTAGTACATTGTACTACTCCACAAACAACAAGTAACCGATTACACTGTTCTGCACGAAAATCCTCTCCTCCAAAACGTTATTTCGATAAGTTCTACATATTTAATCCTTACACCTACATTTAATTTGTCGTATCACGTTACGGAGTCCAGAGAGTACCAAGAACATGCTTTGAGCAGGTGTAAGAATGTACCTGTGCGATATTTATCTTTCTATAGCATAGTGTAAAATTGACCCCAAACATGCTTGCTGACTACTGCTGGACCACTAAACATGAAACTGATGAATACAAGGAAAAAAGACAACCAAATAAATTGTTTGATTGTTTTTTATACAATCAGAAGTATATTTTCAAAAACGTAGATTTGTTGTAATTTTTTAATTCTTAAAAATTCACCACTAGATCGCTTCTAATTTAGGTTTTTTACATGTTATATTCTCCCTTATCTGAAAACATGTGGGTGATGGGGAGAAAGTGACTGCATACTAGATTTCAGTACAACTCATTAGACGCGAAAAACCCGAAAATATTTCGGAGAGCAACAAGGATTTTCAGAATGCCGAACAGCGTTATTAAATAAACCAGCTCCAGCCATGCGAGGGGTTGATTACTTTTGAATTTTCGCGTTCACAATACTTCTCCTTCATCAGGCGTGAGAAGTAAATGTGGAAATTATGTTCCATCCTCGTCGGAATAAATATTTAGAATACATATTACAGTACCCTCGTAGATGTATCAAACGCCCACGATTTTAAAGCGCGCACGCAGCGAAGGAAAGCGGCACCGCGACACTTCCCCCTACCTTCTTCCCCTCTGGCCGCCTATAAACGTTCATTCCTTGTTCTCGTGCCACCCGTTAAGTCGTCAATCGGCGCGCGTCGTTTCTACGTATCAGCAGTGTCGAGGAACATTTAAAATTAGAAATCAGTACAGAAGGTTGGTCGATAGATGTGCATTGACGAACGAGATACCGACCGAAGGTCGCCTCAAGGTTCCTTTCGTCGCGGAGAAAAATTAGAAAGTGGCGTGCAGGCCTCTTTTTCTGAAGAGCCGGCACCATCAGGTAACTATCAACTAACCGATCTGTTTTAGGTGCATGTTAAGTGAATATTTGTATGAAATCCTCACCGGCGCTGCATACTGTGCCCAACATGACGTTTGAGATAACGTTCTGACACTGTTGCTTGGGATTGCAACCTGGACCAAGCGAAGTGATAGAAAACTCAATACCTAGGCCGAACAACCACCTTCGAGATAACGCTGAAACATTAGACTCGGTTGCTTGGGATAGCAAGGTGGACCTGGCTTGTGATAGTCAGCTCCACACCAAGGAGGAATGAAGATGTTTGGGATAATGACTCAATACTGAACTCAGTTGCACAAATAACAACACTGAAAGCGTTTGGGAGAACGTAGCAACAAGGTATGGTAAACGATCTCTTCTCATTTGCTTGTGATAGCAAATTTCATTTGGTTTGTGATAAGCATGAAGCAGGATTATAAGTTTGAACATGGCAGGTTAGGAAGCCATTAAGATATATTTTTTCCTTATTCTCAGATAGAGATTAGGTATCTTATGGGAGGTTAGCGTTACATTTTGCTTCTGATGGCAAATTCAATCTGGTTTGTGATAACCTTGGAACAGCGTAATAAGATTGCACAAGACAGTTTAGGAAACCGGCGAAGAACCATTTTTCATTAATAACAAATAGATATTAGGTTCATCTATGCGAGACTAGCGTTACATTTTGTTTGAGATAGCAAATTCCATCTGGTTTGTGATAGCAATGTAGCAATATAGCATTTTTCATTTATAACAGATAAAAATTGGGTAAATCTATATAAGACTAGCGGTGCATTTTCCTTGAGATAGAAAATTCCATCTCGTTTGTTATAACTATGGAAAAATATGGTAAGGATGCACATGAGAAGTTAGGAAGAAGCCGAAGTACCATTTTTCATTAATGAACGACAGAGACTAGGTACATCTATGCGAGACTAGCGTTACGTTTTGCTTGTCATAGCAAATTCCACGTGGTTTGTGATAACCATGGAACAGCACAATAAGATTTCACAAGACAGTTTAGGAAACCGCCATTCACATGGCAAGTGGTTCAGCACTTTGGCATAGTTAAATCTCATTTGTCCATCTATGCACTACCGACCTTCGACAGTGTTTCAATTGCTTAGCTGCGGAGCTATCAGTAAAAAAGTTGAGCTAACTAAAAATCAGCATCTATCCAAACTTTTCTTGTCCCCAAGTCTGATGGGTCAACACGTTTGGTTCCTTACCTCAACACACTTTGTCTGTTTATAGAGATAGAACGCTTAAGTCTAGGCTATTGAACTGGGATCAGACTTCTCCGTAGAGATACTTTCTTAACGAATCTGGATTTGGAATATGCAGAGATTTTGATACCCATTAAGGACAGTCATAGAATATATTTCAGATTCATATTCAAGGGACAGCTCTTCCAATACAATGCTGTACCGCTTAGGGTAAATCGTGCCCCGCATGTGTACACAAAGTTATTAAAACCATTTCTAGAATACCTTAAGAAAAAGTTGAGCAATTTCAGGCTCAATATTAAATTGTGACAGAAAGAAAGTAATTTTACTTAAGCGGACGATGCAGAAATTACTTAACCTGGTAAGGGCAAAGATGGACAGCAATCAAGATAGAGTCCGGTACCTTGGGGTGAACATCGGATCTTGGTGTCAGCTTGTCTTTCATTCCGTTACAGCCGCCTATACACTAACGAGTGAAATTTCTTGCCTTGTAAAATTCTCAAGGGAACTTATCGCTACTATGCCACTAACATAATATAACTTAGGGCTTACCTCGGCTGTGGCTCAAAGAAACTGGCAGATGCAGTCAGAGGTATTGGATTATCCCATTTTCAGTTATCTAATTTCTCGGACTGGGACATTCGTTGGCCAGCGAAAAGTATCATAGTTTTTGGTCACCCGAGAAAACGATTCCACATACTAATCATCAAGAACCACTGGTAGACTTCTTCTGTGGTGAATGCATTGATGAGCTGT